GAATGTGACAAAGTCCAAGAATGACGGCAGTTGAAATATGGTATACCCTTGGACTCCCGCTGCATGTAGCATGGGATAGATATTACAATATTGTTAGTGTGAGAATATTGTAAAGGCAAGACCCCGAACATAACAGTATAAGAATGTGACAAAGTCCAAGAATGACGGCAGTTGAAATATGGTATACCCTTGGACTCCCGCCGCATCTAACATAGGAATAGGGACGGCCTAGTCAGAATCTTAGCTGGGCGGGACCAAGGTCAAAATATACGATGATCTTCTCGACCAAGAGCGGAAGTGGAAGGGATTGAAATAAACTGACTCGAATAAGTAGTCATTTTCTTGGACACCACTTCCTCGATGAATAGGACCTACGGAATCCTTGCTTATATTGAGATTCTTACACAGGGCGGATTCAGTTCCACACACGCGGACCGTTAGTGTATAAACAGGTCGGACATAGTTCCACACGTAGACCACTGGTCATGCACAAATCCTGGATCAAGTACCAGGTAAAAAATCCGACATATGGGGGGGGGTAAGTGCAGCGGGGGCCGACTGGAATTACGAGGGTTTGGCCCACTACGGGCGCTTCGTCCGCTGGCGGCTGGGAGACCAGTTGCATTGATTAGCATCGTGCACGAAACTAGAGGTTAAAATGATCCCTACCTGCGTATGAGCTTATTCGGCTGTCAATACCGGTCTCAGCCGCTCATTTGGGGCTAAATTTGGATCAAAATCGGTCTTTTCGTCCCTGTCGGGATATATCCTCCCGTCAGAATAAGCAAAGACATGTACGTAATCTTGCTAAGCTGCGGCTCCCGCCGCATGGATTCAGGGGTATTTGGCCTTGACCGGAGACAGATCGATATATACACGAATCAATCAACCTTTGCTTTAGAAGCATAAACTGTTCACTTAACTGTGTACACAGGACCTAGCTGGTGATACCAACAGTCCCCTTGTGTGTCGTGGCACAGAGTTAAAGGGTCTATTTTTCTTCTGAAAGTAATATATTCGAGACTCTGGGTATATGTAGTAGACTTAGATTATGCTCTATCTCATTTGATTTATAGCAACGAAGACCGATAAAGCCAGCAAATTCGGCTCTTCATAATGCTCAACGCTTGATGATGTTGTTATAACCAATCGTGTATTAGCAAGGAATATGTGGTCGACAAATAACTCAGTTTGAAACAAGTGGAGCAACGTTAACTTGGTAATTACTGACAAAAGATGAAGAAATTCGTGCAAGAGAAAAGTTTAAAAGTGGCACAGTCGGAGTAAGCTTTGGTTGTCTCAGCGTGGAATCATCACCGTCACTTCAGCCGTTGAAACAGTGATAAATGAGATATCGCTCAAACGCATTTTTCCTACAATTGTAAAATGCGCCAACTGGGAGCTGTCAAAAGTATTCCATGAAAGTATTGAGGAAATTTTCCATATTTCCACCGATTTGTATATCGCCATTTTCTTTTGCATAAATATCTGCTCGCCGTTTGTATCAAACTACTGGCGGTCTCAGTCTATCGCACGCTCAGAATCTTGCCGCCCAAACCTCTCCCGTCGCAGATTGGCGTTTGGATTATGCGATCGCCAATGTGGCATCTCGCTTTTTTCTACTCTGTAAAAAGCAGCCAACTGACACAGAGCCATATCCCTTGCGTGCAATTTCCGAACGATTATTTCCAAATGACTTCGCATTCTCTGAGTCAAAGATTAATCATGAACGAGCCGAACAATCAACGGCCCTTAATTTCCGAAAATTGCTTCATCACACGTCGCATCTGTACGGTCTTTCCACAACAGTCGTTTGGGGTGCTTAATCCTGAAGAAGCGTTGCGACAGATTCATCGAAATGGTGTCGTCGGTTGCGGCTTTCAACGACCAGGACACTTTTCCCATCCTGGCTTCATCCATTGCGAGCCGATCCCTGTCATTTGCTGGCTGGAAAATATGCCCAATTCGTATCCTTTCAGCCCATTAGAGTCATCCTCCAAGCCTCATGCCCTTGAGGCAAAGGTGGCCCCTACCTGCAACTCCTGTTTTATGCGACTTGACAGCAATGAAGCGCTTGCAACGAGCCCAGTTCCTCAAGAGCCTGCGAACGCCGCGCCTCTTTCTTCCTCTCAGGTACCTCCGGATTGGAGCTTCCAGAAATTGCCACACAAAATACCCCAGCGGCAGTTCGAATGCACATACCCGGGCTGCCACCGCCAGTTCAGGCGCCGAAAGGCCCTCGAGAGACATCTGATATGCCACTCAGATGAAAGGCCGTACGTATGCTGGGTGCCAGAGTGTCATCGCAGCTTCAAACGCCCGGATAGTCTGAAGGCTCACTACCTGACACATACGAAAATGGGCGGTCGCAACCGCTATGTGGCAACCCTGGACAATACGGGTCCTGCCTGCAACCCTAAATTTCGCGGTCGATTGACATTAGAGGGCTGGCCAGCTTTGTAATATCGAGAAAATTCAAATCTTTAACCTAGAAGATGATGTTTATGTTCCGCAATGACCACCCCTTCCATTTCATGGCTTGCGTCTGAGATCTCGGCTGCCTTAAAGTATGAAATATTTCCCCCAAGATGTGACATGAAAATGCTTTTGCCTCCAAAAAGATTTTCCTCGCCTGCCGCCGGTTGCAAATAAATAATGTATAGCCAGATTTTGATGTAATTCGCATGTGATGCATGCGGATAATATTGATACACTAGCTTTGCTATCAATTCAGCGGTTTCTAGAACCATTTTCTAGAGTCAGAAACCCCAATAGAGGTTGCCCATTTTAGCGGCAATGATTAAACGACCGATCTATGGTCCGGAGGTTATACTAAAAGTAGACAACAGCATTAGATTAGATACCAAATACCCAGTTTGTGCTTTGAAACTCTGGCTCCCTTTTGTCAGATCCACTGGGTTGATTATTCATGTTATTTCAATAGATGCAGGACTCTCATATAAACTTCAGGCATACAAAGAATTTTTTTCTTATTTTATTTTAGTGCTAAAAAAGTAGACTACTTGTAAATTGTAAATTAGAAACCTGGGCAGCGAGGTGCAGGAAAAGAAGAACATCCCATGCCGGGCTTGGGGCTCCATAGTAAAATGGTAGACTTAATCGATAGAACAGAAGCAGCATAGCCTAGCACAAGCTTAAAAAATCAAGCAAAATTTTGTGTTCAGCAATCTGTTATATTCGTAGAGCTGTTCGGGCCCGAGGAAGTAGTCGGGGCCGCCGATGGTGCTGTCACTGACACATGGATGGTTGTGGTAGACGAAGAAGTCAGTTGGGATTCAATGCCTTTCGTTGAGGACCTTGATTTATTGCTGGCGGTGCACAAGCTTCCCTTAACCAGGGCCTCCGCGACCTTGCAACTTGTCGCATCCCCTTTTTCATTGTGGAAGTTGATCAAGCCGCTTCGATGTACATCAACCCACGCAGAACTCTGACTGGAGCCACATAACATGGCTTTGAATGACGACGAATTGGAGTGTGTGCCTTTGGTTTCTGGGCTCAGGTCTCAAAGATGTCAGAAAAATCGTTCTTTCGTCAGTAGATTGCATTACTTACGGGAACATGATATGCCGTCAAGAGGCGCAAACGGCTCCGAGATCCCGGTGCAGTCGAAGTTCTCCGTGGAATACACAAAGCATTGGTTATTATGGTTCAATGATCTGAAGCGTTCCGCCAAAGACCGCCGAGATGAGTGTAGAATAAATAAACAAGCGATGCATGTCTCTTTCGGAGCTGAAGATGGGGGTTTTCGTCAAAAACAGGATCTGTCTTGCTCTTTAAACCAGGCATTTGGCGACGCGCGTGAAGCTACTTATAACTCCGTTTCTAACTAAGCTACAGGAATTTTTGGACACACTCCATTCTCAATATGTTTAACATGGTCAGCAAAATCTTGAATTGGCCAAAGAACTCATACCGAACGTATCTGTAAAGCCTTTTTTGTGATGAGTTGTTGTGGAATTAAATGGGAATCTATTAACTTTCCAATCGCTAACAGGCCGCAAGCTTTTGTTGTTCCCATAAAATTGATACAATAGTATTGGCTATCAACTTAAAGAGACAATCATCGGTAGAAGTTGTATGCGCCCTTTGACTACTGTCGTACGGCTCCATTTGCAATTTCGTGGCCGCTCAAGGGGTGCCCAAGTGACCAGATGGAGCCCCGAGAATCCTTAGAAACCTATCAAAGAGCCGCTGAAAGAAAAAAAGACTCTCCGACCCCAAAAGCGGTTGTTCCAGTTATAACAGCTTTTGATTACCAGTCGTTTGAGGTTACTCAACAGGATCTTCCAAGATAATCACAAACGCTTCCCACAATGCCGTACTGATAAATTCTTGCTTTCTCGTCTATCAAGAGAAGACTTTAGGATTTCGCGTGGCTCCTGCTGAACAAGTCAAGATTTTTTCAGTCATAATACAATAATCCGTCCTCCAAGCTATTTGCAGTATATCAAGCCTCTGATTTGACAGATTGAGTGTCCAAACTTGCAACAGTCATCCTCCAAAGCTTGAGACGGCCAAACTCTGAGTGACTATGCTACTCACTTACTGCATTTTCTTTTTAGGTGCAGCTACAATAATTCTCGGACAAATAGTCAGCCTCCTATTGCCCGGATTTCAAGGGCGTGAATTGGAAGCGAGCATATTATCTACCGTACGTGAGGAAATACCGAGATATTAGACTTCAAGAATCTGAATTAACTTCTTATATACATTCTAGGATCATGAAGCGACAACATTCCTTGTGACTTGCCCTCAAACCGTCGCTGCATCTGACTGCGGCATTTCCGAAGCAGGAATGACGGCTATCCTTAGGAAGGTCTCCGTAGAGCTGGTGGATGCCAACAAAAAGAATAGGTTGCTACCGCGTATGCACTCAAAGAACTTTTGATATTAATGAATCATTGCAGCACCGCGTCCCTCTCGTGTCATATTACTGGAACAACGTATGTATCCTGCTATGCTACCAACAAGATTTCAGTTCACGCCACACTAGCCCCAAAAGACCTCAACTGGATGGCAATACCAGTTATAAACACAATATCAAATACCTCAAGCACAATAAGCTCCTCAATCTCCACCCAGAAAGTTATGGTCACATCTCCCGTGAAGCTGCCATCAGGAACAGAAACGGCTGCTACACCGGCGGCTGAGAGCCAAGGAACATTCAGGCTCAAGACCTCGTGGAGTTTATACGCCATAATGGGTTCGATTATGGCTGGAACTCTTGGGTTCACCTTGCTTTTTCCATTGATGAGCTGGCAATTTCAATATTTACGGTGATTAAAGTCTGGTAGTTAATTGCTCAGGCTCGCTTGAAAGAAATGGCACCTGTAGCTCGTTTTCTCTTGTTGGTACCAGTACCCTTTCATATCAATCATCTTGTATAAATTATGATCAGTCTATCTTATACAGAAGGAATTGTGTCCCATATAGATACTCAGATGATCAGGAAGACACAATACGCTACTGTGTCTAGTGAGGCCCATTTCCTATCCAACAGAATCCACTTTTTTCTGCGTAAGGGTGCCGAAAGATAAGATTTTAGAAAACTTTCGATGCAGACGTCCTTGATTTAAAATTTTCTTTGTTGTGTGACAGAGCCAGACAGGCGGATTTCCAAGTTCATAATCATGGACCGCACGTAAAGAGTTCTTCCCTAGTATGGTTTTTCTGGGGCTCACAACACTCGTGCACGTATGAATTCCGTATACGCAATATCTGAAATGTGTTCGATGGGTTTTAAAGTCCCTGGACAGAACTGCTGCGTTATTCTCGGTTTTATTGCAGCGCTAAGATAATATATTTTAAAAGAAAAGAATTTGAGCCCCGAAGCAAATACAGCTGATCTTTGAATTCTTCAGGAGGCACTTTATCCATCGGCATTCTACTCCGAAGAAAACGCGATACTGACCGACTTGCCATCCACTGAGATGAAGCTGACTTCAATTTGAGTGTTCAGATCGATATTACATAGAGGTTTGGTGATGACCATTTGATATTGAAAAATGAGAAAGCATCCAAAACTTTCTCGTACTAGATACATGACCTTGGCGAAGAAACCAGATCCTCGCTAACATCATACTCATGCGGGATCTCGCGCTCCCACGATTGCCACAACACCAAATACTGTATCACTGAAATTCCATCTTCGGAGATCAAGTGAGAGGCAATGGCGCTAATCGGTATCTTTTTGCCGTTGCCGACCTGGTTGCTCTCGTTAGCTCGACAGCCCAAAGAAATCCCATGGACACACTTACGGTGCTCGATGTCTCGTGACCATCCATGGTATGGTGTATGCAGGAAAGACTGGATCCTAGCGACTCTTCTTCTGAATACGTGGCATCATCGCTCCCTGATACCACAAACCTGCGATCTTCACTTGTTTCCGAAAGGTCTTCCTCTGTAGTGGAATCGTCGTCCGTTTCTTCAATATTGAGGTCTTCGTAACTTGATAGAACCTCGAAGAGCTCGTTGTCACTTTCCTCTGTTTTCTCTGGCATTTTTAAAATGATGTGCCACAATTGACTTGGATATGTCGAGCAGGGCAGAGATCATCTCAATTTATAGAACATGGGCGTGCGGCAGTACTCGGTAGCTTGGGGTTGAACTATGTGATGACGGGTGAGGCATATATTGCAGAGATCTAAGAATTAGCAAAATTCATTCGCATTAGCCTACTTCGTGCAAGCGTAAAGTTGGAACTTCTGCGATGTGTTGGCAGGGACCATCACTGGGCATTCAGATCATTGACCCACGGGGAGCGCTGACCCCACCAGGAGCTCCTGATTGGCCAGATGAAGCGTGACAAATCCTTTGTCTCGTCAACGTTGGCGACGCAAGTGAAACGAGTGCCACCGCGGTCAGTCTGCAGAGCTGGCCAGAAATAGCGTGTCGTGGACTCATCACAACAAGATGATTTGAACTTGCTTGATGCGCGCCCCAATTCTGAAAAGATGTTGATTCTTGTTGACAACTTGGGTGCCACTGTTGCTTAATATTGAGCACCGACTGTCGACGATGCAGAATCGACGCAAGGCCATGATTGAAGACATCCATATATGATCAAAAGCCTCGTACCATCCTGGAAGCCAGGCGGCGATGGAAATATCTGTGACAAGGCACAGAATGTTACATATATCTAGGTGGAAGGGATAGCGCAATCGGCCGCACGATTGGTGGTGGTTGATCATCGTTCTCCCATCAAGACCCTTTGCTTGGCTCTATCTTGATATCATGACGTTGGTTACCGTTTTCCAGCTGGCCATGGAAAATCGTACCAGAGCTATGTGCTAGAGTTACAGACGGACGGGATATAAATAGTCGTCAAAGACCCTAGATTCTCAGGGACACCTCCCCTACAAAAGGATGGCCAACCGCATGGAAATTGACCCCAGCGACAATGGCTGCGAAATGACTGACGCGAATCAGCAGCTTGAACGCGAACTCCTTCAGTGCCAGCAAAGATCATCTCCAGCTGCTGTGCATTCGCGGCGTATTGTCTCGCTCGGGGTTTCTCCCCATTACGTGAGTCACTGGACCTCTGCCGATGCCTTTCGGGAACTATATCAGAATTGATATGTGTCTGTCGTCTTGTCGGATCATTAGGCTAAATCATAAAACAGGAAGGACGCCATATTGGAACGGTTCCAGATCGATCGAATCGCCTTCCGGCCATACTTCGTGGAAGCCTGCGATCATTACGCCGTCTTGGTACCAGACCCCGCGGACCCCGAGGGCCGCCGATCCCTGGGATTCATCAAGTATGACAAAAAGTCCAGTCGGGTCACTTTGGCGAACGCCTGCTTGCAATTGCCCTTCGAGGCTCTCGAGTTGGGCTTCACGACCAAGAGCGACCAGAACCAGCTGGCGGGTTCCCACGGCGACGGACTCAAGCTGGCAGCCGTGGCACTGTCCCGGGATGGGTATAGGTTGCAAGTGGCGGCCGGCCGGTGTTCCTGGAATTTCTATTTGCGGGAGCCATGCAAGTCTCGCCTCCATTGCACCATCACCCCATCGCGCCAATCTGGGTCCACCCGGACGGACTGGGCCGAAGATATTGCCGGACTGCGCTTCCACCCCGAGCGAGATGTGGCCGTGCTCATCGGCCCTGGACGCACCACCCAGGGTCGGCCGGTGGCACCTGAAGAATTTCTTGAGTGGCTGCAAATATCGTTGGATATTCGTGGCCTCGCCTACCCGTCCTCGGTTGTCGAGACAAGCCACGGGGACCTGCTTTTTGACCAAAATCTCCTTGGTAGGATTTATGCCCACGGTGTGCTAATCTCTGGAACAAACTCGATTTACCCGTTCAAACTTGGTTATAACTTTACAGAGGGGAAATTCAATCGCGATCGGCGATGGCTCATGGACCGGCATGGACTGGCAGAGCGAGTGTGCCGGATCTGGGAGTCCGCCCTTCAAACGCACGAGGACGTCCTTCTTCCGATATACGTGAGCCTCCTCCGAAAGACACCAGCGCTGATGGACGTTAGTCTGGCTGCTGATTTGCTCTTGCCCTCGACGATATCCCGCATCTGGACGTATTTGCTACACGAGTCCAAGGGCAAGGACTTCTTCTATTGCGAAACATCCGGAGCCCAGGTTTGTCGGAAGTCCAATATCCGTATCCCTTGTCACAGGCTAACGCAAATCTAGGATGTCAAGATGATACGAGAGACCATTGGAAAAAGGCCCATGAAGCTGTCGCGAGAATTGTGGCGCCTACTGCGGTCGACTACGCCTATCCGCAGTGCTGCGGAAGAACTTTCAATGCTTTTCCAAAATGCCGAGATCTGTAGCCCCCCCGAGTACCACCTTCTCGAGAACTGTGCGGAAGGCACTGAGAGCATGCTTTGCTTTATTGGATTCGATGCAGGGGATTCAAGTGGCTTATGTCGAAGGATTCGATAGTAGGGCGGATGTTGTGTATAATCCTCAGCAAAGGACACTGAGGGTCCACCGCCGATGGCTGGACTTTGACGATACACATCAGCGAACATCGTGCCGGAACTGGATTCTTCGTAGTGCGAAGAGGGAAAGCGGAAAGCGCGAACCTTTCTTTTGCGGCCACATCATTGAGGACCTCCTATCACTTTCCATCTCGTCGGTGTTTGGAGACTCTCAGACCCCTCGGACCACTGAGATGAGGTATATGCGCCATATCCGACGTCTACTCCGGTACATGCCACACCAGATCACTTTGACGCCCTCGAAGGGCGGCTTGACGGTTGCTTGGGAAGATAACGAGACAGAGCTGTTTCGGAAGCATGGTCTCGATGGGGCGGCGTATCATGTGATACTACACGAGGAAAGCTGTATCAGCATGAAGCAGGAGCTTCTGCATCCGAACCCAGGTAAGCCTCGATCGATCATCGCTTAGGGTTGACAATTAATTCTGATACTTGTCATATAGTTCTGGACTCGTCGGACCTTGCAGTCTGCGGGTGCCGTCAGCAGTTCGTTCCGCAGCGGACCAAACAATGCCTGTTTGCAGACTTGGATGAATTCAAAAGGTACTACGCGATGGTTTCACTCAACGAAAGGTCTGCATTGTACGGTCTAATACCGGAGCCTATGTATCCCCTAACAGTGGCGGAGATTGGACCCTCCGTTGTCGTCGGCGATCAGCCTCTCGTTGATGTCCAACACAGGCACGGGCCAATCGATCATTCGGGTCCGCCGCGGATCGAGAGAAAAACAGCTTCATCTGCCCAAGAGCCGAGAAGCAAAAGACGGAAGTATATGGACTGAGCAAGTCGTGTCTCAAATCACCCTCACATTGCTATCGCGTTTCGCTGTCCTCGTAACAACACGACGATTAATGAGAGCTATGGCGCACTTTCACACGGAGTGGATGGTATGTGACAGACCGTATATCGTTCGTTGCTCCGTGTCCTCGGCAATATTCTCTTTCGGCAGCCGCTTGAGAACGCGACAAAGTTCGCCGACGTTAGTCTCCGGTATCTTCTGGAGCTCGAGAAGACATTAGCGAGGTCACAGAGAATCGGTCATCCAGACGAATCAAATTGACTGATTGACTGAATTCCGCCTACTTAACAGAAACCACACATGCCAGGATTTTTGGCCTTAGAAATAAATAGGAAAGCCAAACGGAAAAAACTCCCGTCAGATAAAATGATAGGGCCCATATGGGTGAGGGTGCTTCGTATAGCGGACGGATGGGATGTATAGTCGGCTTGGTCCATTTGGACAGAACCTCGACTAGTAGCTTTCGAAACGGGATAAGGATGAACCGTCACACTCAATCAAATAAGACCGAGGGTAGAAATCAGGACGAAGACTCTCATTGAACACTTCACTGCAGTCTCATTGCATCCAGAGTGCATTGCTTCAAGCACCAGCCCCATTATGGGTAGAAGGTAGTGTCTAGGAATACGCGAGGGGGCTCCTCGGAACCTGGCGCTCCTAGGAATTATGGACGCGATCCTGGGGGCATAAGCAGTGCTGCTATTACAGTTCGCTTTAAGGGACATCCATTCTTCGCGACGCATTCTTGTAGTAGGAGCTACCTTGATGGGATCGATACGATGATTGCCATGTGGCGGCACGACGAACGATATAAACTCGCCTGGCCGCTGTTTTCACGAGGCCATCATACCTCTACGCGCGATTATATTGCCCTATCCTTGCTCGCCACCCCAATATTCATTATGGTTCGTAACGGATATCTTTTATGTTGGCAACTACATACTAAACTAGAGGCAGCCCCATCTGCGAGGTCTACCGAATTCAATCCTATACAGAGTTGCAGCATATCTCGAGAGCAGCGAGATATTTGCTCTTGCGAGATCATGTCGAAATCTCCAAACTAGGCTACAGCCAGTCATACTTGCAATCAACGTTGAATGTCAAAACAGCAATTTACTCGGCCTCGCTGCCATGAGCAACGATATTGACCTCGCCGAAAGACTCCTATGTCGCAGGGCAAACGTCAACGCGTTCTTTCGAGGGAAGACCCCGCTGATGAGAGCTCTCAAGTACTCATCCCATGACGTATTGCAGCTCCTGCTGGAAAGCCCCACGCTGGATATCAACCTCCAAAACCAGGCGCAAGAAAGCGCGCTATGGTATGCTGTCACATACGGAACTTCTTCTGTGGTACAGAGCTTGCTGCAGGTCCCAAGGTTACAAATTGACCTCCCGCACAGGCGAGGACGAACGGCACTCCATCTCGCGGTCTGGTGGGGCAAAACGGACCTGGCGCGTCTGCTCCTCTCCAGCGGCAGCGATCCTCTCACTACAGATGACTTTGGCAAGTCACCCCGCGCATGGGCATGGCGCATCGGCCGGGCGAGCATGAAGTGGATCTTTGTAGGCCCACAGGAAGCTGGGCACTGGCTCTCTTTCTACAGGCCATTCGCCGGTTATCAGACCACTGATAACAGCGAGCTGCCGCTCCATCAAGCAATAGCCCATGGATCCGCAGATGCTGTCAAGCTACTTCTGACGCAAAAGGAGCTGGCCCTGGATGATCAGGATCACAACGGGGATACTCCACTCCACCTCGCTGTTCGATGTCGGCGTCTGGCAGTGGTGGAATTGCTGTTGAGCCACCCGTGTGCCAGTATCAATTGTCGAGACAAAGACGGCAACACTCCGCTCTGGTTGTCGACATTCTTATCGCGCGACGACATGACCGAGAGGCTGTTAAAGGCGGGTGGCATTGATATCAACTTTGTGGGCGGTCGTGGTCAGACCCAATCGCCTTCCACTTCGCTGCACCACGCGGTCGCAAGGAGTGACACTGTCGCTCTGCGGTGGCTTCTCGAGATACCTGGCATCGACCCCAATACCGGTGTGGCAGGCGTCTCTCCTTTTTCCGAAGCGGCCGCGAAAGGCAACACCCATGCGATGGCGATGCTCTTGAACAAGGGAGACGTAGAGATCAATGCGGCCGAGTTGGCAGATCCGCCCCTCTGTCGAGCGGCGGAAAACGGCCACCTGGAAGCGGTGAAGCTCCTGGTGCTGCAGGACGAGGCTCTGGCAATTAACCAGAGCACTGTTACCGTCCAAGACACCGCCCTGTGCATCGCCGCCCGGGCGGGCGACTCGGAGATGGTGCGAGTTTTATTAGGCCATCCCTCAGTTGATCCCAACCATCAGAATCGTTGGTTCGAGGATCCTTTGTTGCTTGCAGTAAAAGGGAGACATCTGGGGGTGGTTGACATGCTGCTGCAAGTCCGGAGAATGGACCGTAACAGTTTGGGGGCATCGCTTCATTTTGCCGAGGAGGGTCCAATTCGGGAGGCAATCCAGAAGCGGGTCAATGATCTCTGCGGCCGTCGCGGTGCAAGTACAGCCTCATCATTAAAATGGAGAATCGGGAGAATCGGTGGATTTCTCAAAAATCAGCAAAAGACTTGTACAGCAGGGCGATACAAACTGCATTGAAAGGCCGGTAGAGGTGTAGATCAATGATGACCTGTGGAATGGGATGGTGGAAGGCCAGGATCTTGATGGATTGAGAATAATGCCAACCTTCATATGGTGCGGCGTTGATAGCTCGACAGTAATCGGGGAGAAATGCTGTCACGGACCTTTTTTCTCCGCATCAATTCATGAGCGACGCTGTCGTTGATCCTCATTTATGCGATATGGCAAACGGGCTTAGATTGAAACATGCGTCGTTATAGAGCTCCATTCCGGGTAAGAAGCTGATAATTGCGGGCATGGAGAACAGGCTGGGCTTCGCGTGTCTCCTTCCATGATAGCATATAAGAAACCTCTGAAGATTCTCTTCACTCAGCCCATGCAGCTCACTTCGTACATGAAGAAAATGGACGCACCAGATCGCTCTTCATCGACCGAGCGACCAATTAAAAGACAGCGGCAGCTCTCCAAACACTGTGTGGATGACACTACCGTCGACCTGCATAGCATATTCCGAGAATCTTCGGGGCGTGAAAGTATCGAGTTCAAGGTCAGGATCTTCCCAGTAGCAAAATGGGAGCCTAGTTGACATGTAATAGAACACCACTGGCGCTGCCAGCCTTTTGCCAACTGAGGCCAAGCAGATATTCCGGATGCGCTCTTCCATCTCGAGGCCAGCTCTCGACCTACTCGACCTATTCCTATGTCTCTGGCAATGTTATGTTGTCAAATCTGCTGAGAAAATCCGACTCGAGAACGAACGACGCCAATTTTCGCTGTCCAATGACGAACTAAAAGTCGAAAATGGTCTTCTACAGCAGCGTTGTAATGAGCAGGCCCTGGTACTCTGGGACCGTGGGCGCGCAGCCCACGCTGTTCAGAATGGAATCGTGTCGATATTACGGACGTGTTACCGGAATTTTGACCTGAAAAATTATCTCTGAGTGATCAACAAACATTGGTGAATATGTATGAAAGCGAGGACGCTGGATGGTCTTCTCTTACGATGAACGGGGATGACCGTTGAGACGTCGATGCAGCCGAGAGTTAATTCTCGTTGAGCTTGTGACTATCCATACCTTGCTCAAATAGAAGTATCAATGGACCTTTGATTAATACGATTTCTGGCTCTGATAAGAAGGTTAAATTGGCCTATTGCTCGCTCCCTTTCCAACCCGCAAGTTCGTCGATCTAATACCAATGATCCAGTTCTGTTCTCTCCCACTCCTTGAACTATCGACTTCCGAGGAAATGAACCATCTGGCCCAAATTGGTTGGTAAAGTCCATTTCACATCTCCCAAAACGCATACTTACCACCAAGCAGACTTTGTTTCCGATGATGACATCCACGCAGCCTGGCAGGAGTCCTCTAACGTACCCGCTGTACCCCCCTGCCTTGCTACCGACCGCCGCGGATTGAAGCGAACTTCATTCAACTTATCAGGGGTCTCCAGCTCTGAAATTTACGGGCTATCTTTGGTCGACTGTGTTTTTTATCCGAATCATGAAACCCAACAAAGCTTTCCGTGGACAGGTCCGGATCCTCTGTCTCCGTCTACCAAGGCGGAGGATATTTTTGTATACTTTTCCGCCTTCTTGCTACCGGAGAAAGTCTACTGGGTGGAATTTCGTCTTTCAAGATTTGACTCTCTCAGTGATGAGTTGATGGGTGAGCACCTTTTTTTCCTGCCACGATTCGAGACAGCGATGGGGAATCTTTCTCGGGTGCGCAAGCAGATTCTCGACATCATCTCCCAAGTATGCTCTGCAGCGCAGACAGCCCGCTTCCGACTGTCGATGTGGGCCCGCTTGGAACCTCTTCCTTACACTCAGCACTTCATGATGTCGCCGTACTCCACCCTACCTACGTTGCCATGCCTCGATCCGGGGTTCTTCGTCCATAATCTCTGCGGGAATTTCAGGTAGAAGTGGCGGCTGAACTAAAGATACATACATAATCAGAAATACAACGAGTGTACACGAGCACAGATGGTAATCTGGGCTACTCATCCTTTCAATTGATTCTAGGACTAAAGATAAGGCCAAATTGGGCTCAGAAAATGCCGCTACTGGCAGTTATTTCATGTGCACTGTGCTCTATTCTAAAGGAAAATTGTCTCGAGAGATCCGCATTTGGGGCTTGAACGAAAATTAACTCTGTTATTTTTTCTCTTATAAGCCTGCTTTTGCCTTTCCGTTTATCGTTATCGAAAACTCCTTGATTTCTCATTCCTTTATTTCATCATAAGAGCAAGAATCTAATTGGATTCGAGGATCCACTTCTTGCCTGTCTCTTGCCTGTATTCTGCCTGCATAACCTCCGCAACATTCTGCCAACGGGTATGTACGAAAAAGATACCAGAGGCTGATGAGGCTGGTCAAAATCACGAGGATACCAAGTACAATCTGACCGATAGCCCCATGGTATATAATGCTGCAACGAGGCAGGGAGCCTCGGTCATCGAATACTGCAAAAATGTCGAGAAATCCATGCATCTGGTCCATAATATACCCACCCAAAGCGATTACAACCACCCCGAGGAATAATTGGGTAATAAAGAAGTTGTCAATTGCAGTCCTCCCATCTCGTACCCAACTTGGGTGAGCGAGAAGTGTGAAACCAAACAAGAAGAAGAGAACCGAGGAAAGCGCGACAATAACCATTGCCTTGCGAAAGTCCCTCATAAGCTCTCGGAATGCGTCGTACAGGATGGGGCCGTCGGATTCATTGAGGCCAGCTGTTACCTGGTCTCGCAAAGTATCTGCGAAACGAGCAGTGACAGAATTGAAAGCAGCGACGAGCAGCCAAATAGTGGTGAGAGAAAAGACACAGAGACGAACAAAGATGCGGGATGTATCGGTATATTGAGACATGGTGGAGTTGAAAAAGGGGAAACCGAGATGAAGTCTAGCCAGAAGCTTACGCTGCACAATTTCATGGATTCAATTCAGGCTCAGATTGAATTGTTAAAATGGGACGGGACAATAAGACAATTATTTGGGAACCAGCGTATAAATACTTTCCATATTTCAAAGGCATATGCGAATGCATCATCCTTGCGAGTCCTCAGATGACAAAAGTTGGTTGCCTACAATTCCTTTCTGGCTCCAGCTCGTCAATGCATACCTCGTAACCATACTATCCTAGGAGCAGACAAGGAATGCCATTCAGCCCCAGCTGCTGGATGATCGACAAAATAGATAAGTTAAAAATTGCTCAGAATCCTTATTGCTCCCAGGAATCGGACATAACTTTCTAGGAGTTCTTTCTGAAATGGAAATTCCCGGAACGAATAGATAAATTTGCTACTCACTGTTTGCACATACAGCTTCATGCCAGTGTACTACTCCTTCTTTTGCTGTATTATGGGTGCACTGAGCATTGGTGGACAGTAAATGGGTTATTTCGAGGGACCGACTACGGCAGGATGGTACAAACAGACTTGTAATGCTTAAGTTCTATACACTATTCGCGAGCTTCTAGTACCTTGAGATATGTTCCAATATTACTTTTCGGAGGTGGCAATTCTTCACCGGCTCGGAGCCAGCACTATGTTCAACCTGTACCTTATGAACATCGCCAGTCTCTGACAAACTGGAAAAGCGGCCAATTACTGCTATGGCCTTTTAGGATAGGCTTGTTCCTCGTTCACTCCATTTCCCCAAGTAATGGTATGGTATTCGGACTGAGTTTGGATATGGTGTCGCAACACATTAGAGCACGAACAGTAGACTCAGAGATCGCTCAGCCGATCTTTGGACCTCCAATCAATCAATCACCTGATTCTATTGGACGTTTTTAGTATTAGCCAGTACATCAATTCCTCATCCCGACACTTCGCCGGGGCACAACTATCGCAGCCGCGCGCCCCAAAGGTAGTCTAACGATAGGAGCGGCAATTAGGCCACGGCAGGCTTTGACCAAGCTCTAAGATCGTTTTCAGCAAGTGGAGCATAACTAATTGTACATACGCGGATATATTTGGTTTAAGCATCGAGTCATCTTTTTGAAGTTTAGGAGATGCATATATTCAATTCCGTGCTGTGTTGTGACGAGATCGCACCCCGGTTCCAACAACGAGTGGGTCCATGATGAAGTTGATTGGATATCTTCGCGCCCAAGCCATGCCAAGGAACAACGCCGCGCTAATCCTGGTCAACGACCTCCTGTCACCACTCGATGCCCGACTCCTTCTGACTGATGAAACGGAGCCGGTTTTTCACTCTTGTGCATGTGTGATCTCTAGCCACGAAAATGATCTCCTTCGATTGGTCACATCGACAAACATGAAACGTGAAGCCGCGTCTGAATCACGAGGCTGCAATAGTGAGAGTGATGAGCGACCAGCAAAAGTGCCCCGGCGAGGAAGCTCAAGCACGAATCCAGGGCCCTTGAAGCTCGGGCAAGACCCCGGCAGAGTACAGCAGCCACTCTCTCCACTCTCGCCTGATTGTAACAGCGAAGTCAGTTTTCAATCTCGTCTCTCAATAGCCATTTGACTGACTGCATAGAATCCCAATACCCTAGAGCATCGAACAGCACCAACGTCTCTCACGCATGCGCCCACCGAGCTCACGGACGGAATATATCAGTGGATACCTGCCCCATCGGAGGTCGACGCGCTTGAGACAATGAGTCAACCATCATCGAAAAGGTCCCGATCACGTTCGATCTCAACGGATCGGGGGCGTGCTCGGTCGGTTTCGTCGGAGAACAGCGAGAGCAGCTCGGCCCGGGACACCAGATCATATGCCTACAGAGCCGTCAACTATGTCACTATTTTGGAAACCAAGGGCTGCTTCATGCGACCGTCCCCCGCCGGCCCGGTACCCGACGATATTGCGCTTTGTGAGCGTCTTCTCGCTCAGCCGGTCGAGCCTCCTACCGGTACACTTTTCGACGACTTGTACATCACAGACTTCCATAATGCATTGCGGAATCGATCTGAAGCGCGTCTCCTGGTGGACCTACACCCTCTCATTATGCCATCCGCGGAAAATCAGTATATACAGGGGAATGAATCCTTGAAAGACGTGATTGATGGATACAATGATCCGTGGCTGAAGACCGAGCCAATATATGGTCCGAAACCGCAGCCGGACCACGCGCGCGGCTTGAAGTGGTCGACCTTTTCCGAGAGCCAGCGGCGCAAACTGGGGATCAAGCCGGACGAGAAATCACCGTATACAGCGCGAGAGGATATGTATTTCCCTTACTTGACAGCAGAAATCAAATGTGGGAACCAAGCGCTGGAGCTTGCCGACCGGCAGAATATGCACAGTATGTGCATTGCCCTGCGGGCTGTGGTCTCTCTGTGCCAAGCGGCGGGCTGCACGGAAGAGGTGCATCGGCGGATTTTGGGGTTTTCGGTCTCTCATGAGCTCGAAGGCGTTCGTTTGTACGGCTACTATCCTGAGGTCGATGGTGGCAAAGTGTCATTTTACCGCTGGCCGGTCGCGCAACCCAACATCTGGACCAAAGAGGATCGGTGGACATGTTATCGGTTCGTGGAGAACGTGGACCGCGAATTTCTGCCTATCCATACTCACCGGCTATTGCGGATACTTGAAGGAGTTCCGGACCCAGACGAGGGTTCTTTAAGTGTCGTTGTCGACGGGCCTGACTCTCAGCTCTCCGTGGGTGGATCGCAGGAACGTCTGGGGTATCGCAGAGCTGCATCCTCGCAGAATCGTGGTTTGCAACCGGAGCTACGCATGATGGTTCAAACATTACAAGAACAATTGGCTGAACAGAAGGACCGAGAGGAGAAACGAGAGGCGGAACGAAAGGCACAGGAAGAAAAGCGAGAAGCGGAGCAGAAAGCACGGGAAGAGAAACTTCTCGCTCAACTAGAGCAGCAAAAGCTCCGGGAAGAGCAACGAGAAATAGAACAGAAGGCACGGGAAGAGAAGCGAGAAGCAGAACAGAAGGAACTGCAAATGAAACTTCTTGCCCTTTTAGAACAGAAGGATAATTCGAAATGAGCATATGAATAGTATCTATGGATATTCATGCAAAGACTTTCAACTATGCCTGCGTTAGAGGACCCTCCCTCTTTTGGTATTAGCGCCCCAACCGTAGGGGTAGATAGGCCAATGGGGACGCGTTGTGCTTCGACACGTTTACACCGCGACGGTCTCTCCACTGGGGACGCGTGCTGCCGCACGTTGTAAGCCCTCAAACGACGTGGCATGAATGGTCTTTGATGTGGAGGACGTGGCAGTATAAAAATTAGCGATGTAGGACCTAGTCAAATGGGTGAAGCCCGGGTTGAAAGCGTTTCGGCCCCTAAAGTGATGTAAGAATGTTTTCATTTATATCATGAGATCGAGATCGAGAGAAAGCGGAGGTCATCAAATGGTAATCTTCTGGAGTAAATTGAGACCTTGGAAAGACCGCAGTCAGGAAGGTTGCACGTAGAGTGAGCAGTTATCTCGAAGGGGATCTTGTCCTCGTCGAGCTATGCGTGTACTAGCCCATCAAAAACTCATTATATTTTGACAGGTGGTGTCCCAAAATTCATAGGTATCATGTAAAAAAGAGCAATTCAAGGCTCAAAAACCTGTATTTCGCGTGCTGGGTTTGACGGCCTTGAAACAACCAGACTACTAAAAAGAAGACGAAGGGGAAAAAGGTGCTTGGGGTGTCACTATCCTGTGGAAGGACAATAGTTCTGGGGTTAACGATAGGACGGGCCTGGAATTTTCAGCAGATGAGTATAACAGCACACAAGGCATAAGACAAACTTTCACAAGAACACACACTCAGAATTTGAATGGCAAATTCCAAATGGCAACAAAACATATCTGTACTCTAGCCGGGAGACAGCAGCTCACTTTCCTTGGTCGTAAAAGGAAGGAGAGAAGGGAGTATTTTCTGTAGTGGTCGCTCGATATGCAATCGTGGAGGGGCTTTCACTCAGGTATGCCCTCTCTGGGAAGCCCTCTATGCCATCCGAATACCCAGGGATGGCTGCGAGAATTTCTGGTGTGGGGGCTAGTTAAAAGGAAAGATAATCAAAGTTAGCTATTGTGAGCCTGGAATAATGGGTCTTATGTGCAGTACATACCTTCTGGGGGCAAACTCCGATAATCCCGAAGTTGTCCATCCCCGAGTTGTGGCGCTGGATGCATGAAGTTATCGGCTGCGACAAAGTCGCCTGGTTGATCAATATCTCGAACAAAATGTGGCATCCTGTTCGCGTGGTTTGTCTCGTGGTACATCCTCATTTGTCGTTTGAAAGCAGTATGAATTGCTCCAAAGCTCCTCTCATGTTGAAAGTCTGCCAGAAACTCAGCTTGGATCTCTTCCTTATTCAAATGTCTCCTTTGCATAAACCAGAATGGTAAGCGCTCCAGGTCCTGGGTTGCCCATCGACGATTGCGGGATCTGGCTTTTTCTCTATCAGCTCTAGCCCCTGGTATGGTATTGATTGCGTCACTTACTAAGTTGAGGTTTATTTATAATTTGGACCTCTATATGTGATTTGTGGGTTGACACGCCTTTTCTCCCGCCATGTGTAGAAGCGCCCGAAGCATTCAATTGATGTGTCGCAGAATATGGAACTCCATCCGGCAGATTGGACCCGCCTGGCCCTTGGCAAACGGCTTCTTCGCTATGTTTCGCTGTCTCTGTGGGGTGAGGGCTTGAAGATGTCTTTGAAGAATTTCGAGATATTGTTTGTGGTTGACGATTTTCGGTCACAGTGTTACCATGAAAGGTGAGACCTGTGTTGTTGACTGGGTCTGTCAGCACTGACACGCGTTCATCATTTTCGTCCCGTAGATCAGTAATTCCTCTTGTACCGTAGCGTCCTATGCCAGTATTGCTCTGGCCTTCCATGGCTTCAGCCCCCGGATTCAGAGGCGTAGGCCTCCCGGTCATTGACTCATGTTCAGCCAGCGTCTCCCTGTCGTTGGATGGGCTCACGATATTCGGCCTTAGTTCTGGGAGGCTATTTTGCCGATCAAAACAGGTCTTGACAAATCCACTGCTCGCCTCCTCAAGGGAGTTTCTGCGGTTTCCACTGTCCTCGCTAGGATTTGTATGCTGACAGGTATGGTTGAAATTCTCTGTTTGTGGATAGGGATGCCCCATCAGGGGCCCTGGTTGGCAACTAAGACTCTGTCGTTTTTCAGAACCTTTCACGGGCATCCACAACGGTGCATCTGGAAGGGTGACTCGCCGACCATTTCGGCTATGTAGCCTTTTCCTCTGGCCCATTCTCATGGGGGCTCTTCCGAGCAGTTTATTCGCCATTATCCTGGAAGCTGGCATTGTTTTCCTACCGTGGAAACTCCGTCTAGTAAGCTTGCCAGGAAGACTACTTCGAAACTTTCTCCTGCGCCACATGCGATGCGCTCTTTTGAGCTCCTTCAGGGATGACCATGCTTTCCCCACGAGAGTCTCTTTATTGGGAACTGCCGCGTACCCTAAACCTTGATCATGCTAGGCCTGCTCCAAAACTAGGCTTGATGGATATGTATTCGAATCTGTTGATTCTTTCCATTTGTTCAAAATATCTTGAAGCGCTCGAGTTCTCTGGTTAGCCTTTCCAATTATCTTATTGTTGACCTCAATCACTATGACTCAGGAATTTGCTGGTCAGTCAAAGCACGATCGTTTTTTGTACCAGATAAGGCCTAAGATAACTCACCTTTTGATGCAAGTTGGTTCGAAATTGCAACCATCTCGGCAGTGAACGACAGTGTATATAACTCTGTTTGGACATCCCTCTTATAGTACCAAGGTTGAATCAATTTCTGTGGTAGGCCGGAAATCATCATATTATGCTGGAAGTCTGACAGCTCCGCAGTTGCGTTGAAGTCATGCAGATAATAATGATAGACTTCGGCTTCCTTGAATTCGATCTTGGATCTGTCTGCATTCAGAAAATCCAGCCAAGTGATGGTCCTCTGCATCGTGCCATTTTCGAGCTGGATGATTTTCGGGCTTGGAGAACCAAAGATGGCGTCTATCCCTTCCATAAGATTGACACTGATCATCGGGGCATTGTAAACGACCGCGAGGCTCGCATTTTTTTCAAATTGATCCAATATGTCCTGGGATTCTTCTAGGGTGAGGCAAAGTCTTTCTTGCAGCGGTTGGAACTGCTCCAGGAGACTTTCTCTTAGCTCCAGGAAATTGCCTCCTGGGCGGTGATTTAGGCTTTGATTTTTTTCGGAGAACATAGATTCAGTCTTGCGACTGCTGGAGTCTTAATCGTGGCGGTTGGCTGTAGGCTCGTGACGATCGTGGTATTCGTCTAGAAAGTCATAGAGATCAGCAGGTGTTGGTGCCTTACATCGAGATTCGTTGCCTACCTTGTGGGACCAGAGAAGATGTGGTGGGTATGAGGCGGAGAAAAAAAGTTATTTTCTCAGAAGTCGATGATGAGTAGGAAATTTATAGCCCATGAATCTCTGGTCACGGAAGATGACCGGCTCTGAAAAGCATAGGAAATCACAGGCCAGTCTATTTGACATGGCTATGCCGAAGCCATAATCCCAACGTTGGCAGCACGATTAGATCGGTTTGCTGATGATGAAGCACTGAAAGCAACGTTGAAACATCAATGGCACTGTTGAAAGATCTTATACACATCACGCTCCAAAGATTATGACTGCCGATATGCTGTTCTGGGAGTATCTGCTGCCCTGATCTCGCGACGTCAATGGGGCCTTATTGTGAAGATAGATCGCACTTTCTCGGGGCTGCTTATAATATGCAGTCGCTCAGCCGCGGCTGGCACCTCCTCTCGCACTTCGAAAGCATTTTCTTTGCATTATATATCTGATCGTCGAGGAGTTTGACGCAGATCTGATCATTTGCTCAAGCGTATGTCCAAATGCGGGAGATATTCTTGAAACGCTGAGTTCAGATGGTGTAACCCGCTTTCCGACACACATTTCAGAGACTACAGGTAACGAGGTCAATAACGTAAAATTAAATGGGAAGTTGAATGTTTACAGTACATAGAGGTCTCTTTTGCTTGGGCTGACCATGCTCAGGTACATGCCGCAATTCACTAAGGTCCCGAACATAAATCGGACCGGCCCACACACCACGCCTCACGGAAACTCAATCTGCAAGAAATGCATCACCTCTGAGATCAAGTCCTCCTCGATACATCCAATGAGTCTCTTTATCACGTCAATGGGTATCATGGATCGTTCTTGTAGTCGTGTGCGGAGAGAGAGCTCGGGTAAATGAGGATGAGAGGAAACAGCCTGCTGTGACTGCACTTGCACCATGCTTGACTTCGGGAGGATTTTCTGTAGGAATTCAAAGAGACGACAGAGACTCTCTGCGCCATAGTTGTCGCCGACGCGAAGGCAGAATTCGATGGCAGCACAATTCTTCTCAAGCAGACTATCCCTGTCTTGGGCCAAGCGATGAACAGCGGCGTGGCGAATGCCGGCGATCGAATGGCGCAAGTTCTGAACAGTGGTGATATTTTCACCATGTTGCTCCGACGAGATCTTCGATCGGTTTCTAGCTAAGAATTTGAAGAACATGTGCAGCTCCAGTGCCTCGGGGCATGTCCATCCAACGGCCAAAGACTGAGGTTGAAGCCATTTTTGAACAAATCGGAAAGCGGAATGCTCGAGGTGGCGTTGCAGCGTTTGGAGGATCAAATGTTGTGCTCGAAAAGGGATAGGCGTCATATGAAGTCCTAGGATGGGAAACAAAATCTCTATAAACTCTATCGATCATAATTAGCGAAGGCACTCTAGTCTCTTGTTTCAGCTTACCCTTAGCTTTCAGTCCCCGGCTCTGTTTCAAAAAGGATTTCAAGGACCTTCGACAGTCAATTTTGGAATTATTCAGTTTCGAGAGGATCGCGAGGTGATTTACCGGTAGCTGATTGACTGTGGAGACCATGGATGCTGGTCAGTGGCGGAGTCTCTATTGGGGCGCGACGAAATCATGTTCCGACGACGGACTCGGCGTCGACATCTCTTCATCGATGGTACCTCGGCCGGCTTGTGGGCGTGGGTACACGAAGTACCCTGGTCATCCTGTACAGGCAAGTGAAATAAAGATTTGGGCGGCATGACGCGCTGCAGTGACTGCGACTTGCAACGGAAAATATGCCGGCTAGGCTGAGGAAAATCATTTTCTCTCACGGGGCGAGAACAAAAATTTTGCAGGCGAAAAATTCTGCGGATGGGCAAGCGAGTTGCCAAGGCGAGTCTTCCATGGAATGACTCTACATATTAGCTGCGTGAAAACCGTTTCACATCGTTGAGCAATGTTGAGACCAATGATTTGCGAATTGATTGGCTACGGTGCGACCGAATATTGGCAGACTTCTGGAGCCACAAGAAATTAAGCTGCTACGGCGAATAGCCCATGGCATGCCACTTCGGTCTACATCTCATACAAAATTGCGCGAAAGGCCGTTTCACCATTGTCAACAACGTTGATGAGGCAAATGATTTGTCACGCATCGCATCATACCGACCACGGCTCCAGGTGGATCCAGCCACTCCACCCGCTCTCCAACCCGAACTCTTGAAAATTCTTATTTCAACGTTGATAAACCGCCTCAACACCCACGAAATTAGGGTCGCCCGGTGCAAATTTGAAGTCAAAATCTCTGGACTCGGCAAAATGTCGCAAGTGGTCGCTGCCGAAACCCCTACTCAGAATAGCATAAAAGACGCTCTTTTCCCGTCAAAATGAAGAGCAGGACTTTCCTCCTCACACTCCGGGCCTCGCAGCCTTGGAGTGTCTTTTGCAGGTAAGATCTGCGTTACCAAGTACTCTTCGCAGGACGGGCTCTGCGTGATCAAGTGTGCCTCGCGGGACGAGCTCCGCGTCAACAAGTGTGCCTCGCAGGGGGACGCTGCGAAACCAAGGAAGACCCGCAGGAGACCGCTGCGATACCAAGTTCTCCGCAGGAGACCGCTGCGTCACCAAGTTCTCCGCAGGAGAGTGCTGCGTCAAAAAGTTCTCCCTCACAGCCCATGAGCCCTGTGATTGTAAAAACGTGCTCCCTCACAGCCCATGAGCCCTGTGGTTGTAAAAACGCGCTCCCTCACAGCCCATGAGCCCTGTGATTGTAAAAACGTGCTCCCTCACAGCCCATGAGCCCTGTGATTGTAAAAACGCGCTCCCTCACAGCCCATGAGCCCTGTGATTGTAAAAACGTGCTCCCTCACAGCCCATGAGCCCTGTGACTGTAAAAATGTGCTCCCTCGCAGCAATGAGCCCTGCGTTGTAAACCTGTGCTCCGCAGGGACGCCTGCGTTACCAAGAACCTCCGCAGGAGACCGCTGCGACACCAAGTTCTCCCTCACAGCCCTGAGCCCTGTGATTGTATAATCTTGAGCTTCCATGCAGTCTTGAGCCCTGCGTTATCAAATTTGTGCTTGTTAGGCGACCCGTGGCGCCACGGTCCTCGTCCTGATCCTCTGGCGATTGCAGGCACCTCTTCGTGGTGTCAGAGACTAGTATTCGGGGGGGTCCTCGAAGAAGCCAAGACCTGCTCCAAACAACCGATAGAAATCAAGAATCCAATGAGACATGGTCTAGAATGACTTCAGCATTGTATGTAGATGCCACCGTGCATGGCTCTGGTTCGAAAAACGCACTTTGTAGCGCTCCATCCACGCCCTGAGCTTCGAGAATGCATATTCTCTTCCACGTAGTGTGAATTAGAGCATCGAGTCATGGCTGATAGCTGGGAGGCCATTCTGAGTGGCGGCTGAAATCCAAAGTAATCCATTGGTGTGAATGCTTGTCTCTGCTGGCTAGCAGTGGCAGCAGACTTTGTTCGTATGTAGGGAGATGCGGATTTTCGACGGTGAGTGGGTGGTGGGTTGGTGTTTTGATGGTTTTGATATTTTGATGCGTGAACGTGCTGATGTGTTGGTTTGTTGAGGTGTTGATGACAAGGGCATGTTGATGGTGAGGACGTATTGATGGTGAGGGCTGGAGGTGAGTCACGGTTGAGAATTGGTTATGATGGTGAAGGGACCGAACATGTGAATCGTTGCAGTGCGGGTGACTCCCGGGCGGTGAAGTGGCGGCCAACGGTAAATCCCCGTCATCGTGGGGATCTTTGTTCCCTCACGAATGCAAAAGTTGATAAACAGTGCGAAATGATGATTTCTTCAGATAGAATTCGATATTGTAGTACATATGCCGGTCGGTTTTTTATATGAATTCCTCTCGGCTCAAAATTCATCGCATAGCCTTTAGCGATATTCTATTTC